TTTCGCATGTATTTAGATTTTGCGCCGTAAATGTGATTGGAATCCAAAGTGGCACGCTGGCGTACTACTTTGGGATTGTTTCTAAACAAAAAAATACAGTTTAACACCCAGATCCCTGAACCAAATTAATTCAACTTTAGCCTGAAGTGGCTATCTAAACAACAATAATAATAAATTTTGTTTTGATTAAGACCAAAAAATGTCTTCAGGGGAAAGTAGATAAAGCAGGACTCAAATCTGAACACACTCGTGACAAGACGAGGTTCCATTCATCAAATGTAAGCCCTGAACTGGAAATATTTTGGGGAAAAGAAATTAAAACAGGATATCGGTCTTTTACAAAAAGGAAAAGTCCGTACAACAAGCAATAGCGGTATAACTTACGATTTGCTGAACATGTTCTGACATGCCCACAAAGCTTCGTGCAGGGGAAATCCATTTCCAATTTCCTTCATACAGCCATACTCTTCTGAAAACTTTTCCACGGCTAGGCTGCGAAGCTTCTCTATAGCAAGAATTCGCTGAGTGTCCGGTAGGTCCAGCGTCTTAGTGGGACATAAAGTGTAAACCCAAAAAAATATAAGCTTTTGAAAAGATGACATTCTCGAAGATGATGAATATCACCTGAGGATGCAATGAAAAACCATGCGTCATCCGAGTTAGCTGGGAAGAACTGAATAGCACACACCCTGAGCTCTTTTCCCATACCTACGCAGTGCTCCTATTCAGGGTGATTGTTGCAACGTTGCATCTCTCGCGTACCAGTGGCAGGTGTTGCTCTGCTAATAACGGCTATCAAACACCGACCAATCAACCTTAAGTCCGACTGCAACACATTCTCCCTTAAAGCACTACGAGCCATGGGTTAATCTCGTTACTTGCAGCTTTCGCAGCGCCATACGTGTGCCTCGCCCGACTGCCAATTTCTTCAAACTTGTTCTCCGATCATTCTGCACCGACTGGGGTCCAACCTCTCCTCCTTTTATTCGGGACCAGGCATGACGATTGCGGCTAGGGTCTGCTTATGACTTAAACTATTGTGACAATAACCATGTGGCAATGGCAAGGGTTAATCAGGTTGGTTTTAGATGAGATAAGGCATACAGGCAATCTAGACACCCGTTGATGAACATTCACCAACCGCTAGAGGGAATAACTCGTCTCAGGTGCATCACCCGAAGATCGAAATCGTAACCTTTTGACCAGAAGTCCAACGCTCTAACCACTTAGCCACGGGCTCGTTGTCTTGCCGGTTTAAATCGGGAATATTGTCATTCGTTGATAAACGTTCAACGACCGTTAAAGGAACTCACTCCTTCCGCTTTGCCTTGGGACTCACTCTCAAGCCCCGTCAGCGACCGCGTAGCAGCTAGCAGTTTAGGCAGATGAACCTTGCTGACAAAGACAAGGGAGACTGCAATGGCTATTTCTGACGCATTTGCCAGGAATTAGCCTCTCCCTTGTCTTTGGCGGAAATGTTCATCTAACCAGACACTCCAGTTAAATTTATCAAGTGCCAAACACCCATCCATCCCTGTCTATAGGAAGCATTGAATGGTCAGACAATTTCAACAGCACCGTCAACTTCCACTGCCCACTAAGTAATAACTAAAACAAATAGAACATTGTCAAGTCGCAAACCAACGAAAAATCGGTACGAACACAAACAATATTGCAACAAGATATACTACTATAAAATTGTGAGTAGCACAGTTTAATAACTAGAATATACTTCAGTTGCGTGTAGGCTGATGATGCAAAACGGAATTTGGGTCAGTACCTGAACAACAGTAATTCCCTTGGAATCCGAAGATGATGACGATGAGGAGGCATGCGTCTACAGACAGAAAACACAAAAATATATTAAAACGGAAATGGGATTGGTGACGTGGATACACATTTGCCTTAGGAAAGCGGGATCACAATATGCCAATACCGTGCGCATGAAGACAAGACCAATTAAGTCATTGGCGCTACTAATGGCCTTGTTCTGCATGAAGGTTTGGCAACAAAGAAGGCCCAGACGGACACCCGTATCGACTTGCTCCTGAGAATCAGGAGCCAGACCACTATCATCCTGAGAAAGAGTGGCGGAGACCATCGTTGGAGTGCAGTCAATGAGGAAAATCACACCGTCCCGTGAAGCAGATAGCTGAAAAACAAGAAAAGCCAAAGAATAAAAAATAACATAGAAAAATATAACCTGAAACGTGAAGCC